GTCCCTCCCCCTCCTACTGCCGCCACATGCGAGGAACGTCTCCCCGCGGTGACGAATCCAGCTGAATCTGGGCGCAGGCTGCGATGCAGTCAGTCACCAAGGGAGATTGTACCACGTGCATCCCCGCAGCCGCGGGGAATGGGGACCAGGGCTTCCCTGCTAGGTCCCCTGCAGCCCCCCACGCTTGGCCCCACTCCACAGGGGCTCTGGCAGTGCCTGGGTGGGATGGAAAGCACCCCTTGGACGTGGCCCTTTGCAGATCCATTTGCAAAGGGGTGCCCAGCTGCGCCCGAGGGATGCACTTAGGGGTCACGGTGCTCCCTGGCAGGGAGGCAGGCATGACACCCTTGGGTGCAGCTGAGGAGAGGGGAGCTGCAACCAGCAGAGCCCAGAGCGGGGCTGATGCTGTGGATGTCCACTGACTGTCTTGTGAGCCCGTGGCCCCAGGGCCATGCCCTGGGGGTGGCAGCCTGCCCGGGGAGCAGCCCAGTCCTCCCCCAGCCTGGCACTGCCCTCCCAGCACTGATCATTAACCACCCTTATCGGGTGGTGGGTTCAAGGACCTGTTGTCCCCAGGCTGAGCAGAGCATGGCTGGGGCCATGCTGGAGGCAGCGGGACTTGGACCTGCCGACAGTTGCTGTAATGGCCCTGCGTCTCGGCAAAGCCCTGTGCTTGGCAGTTTTCCCTGTCCCTGCTGTCCCCTCTTGGTCTTGCCTCCCCAAAAGACCCACCAGGCCCTCCATGCATCTCTGGGGTGGGTGAGGGATGTGCCAGCCTGTGCCGGGGGTCGGTGCCTGGTGTGCTTAGTGCTGGCAGAGGACATGTGCCTGGAGACACCAGCCCAAGCCACCTGCAGAGCGCTTCAAGGATGGTGCCAGCTTCGGGGGTCAGAGGCAGGTCCTTGGGCCCAGCTGGTGCTGAGGGGTCCCTGGCATGGGTGCAGAGCATGCTGGACACAAGCAGGGCAGGATCAGGGCAGGGAGGGACTGATCCAGCCCCAGTGCTGCTCCTATCCCATTCACCCTGCTGTGCTCTGGTGCATCGCAGCTGATGTCCCGGCGCATTTACGGCCCCATCTGGAAGTCGACCTTCGGGCACTACGAGAACATCAACATTGGGAGCCCGGTGGTGCTGGAGCAGCTGCTACGGCAGGAGGGCAAGTACCCCATGCGGAGCGACATGGCCCTGTGGAAGGAGCACCGGGACACCCGGCGCCTGCCCTATGGACCCTTCACCGAGTGAGTCCTGCCCTGGCTGCGCTCTGCAGGTTCCTGTCCCTTCCTCGGGTGGCTGCGCTCTGCAGGGTGGCAGGCGGCTCCTGTCCC